ACGATGTGATGGGAACCGGCGCCAATACGAAATATCAATTTCCTCATCTACCCGCCTCCCCCGCCTTATCGATGCTCCTCCTCCGCCTACGGGCCAGCACAATACCAGCCGTCACCTCTTCGACCAGCCGGGCTCGGGCAAAAATACCAATCCCAGGCTTGGCACTACTGCTCCCCTCTCGGACCAGGGCAAAGAAACCTGTAGCCCGCTTGATGCACCACCTCGTACTCCTACATATTCTTCTGGCCACAGTCGTGCCAAAGACGTCTGTGTCGACAGTTGCACCACTGACTTTCGTGCAGAACGATGGCAACAGTCAGCACATAGCAAATATGGGTGCCCTCGGCGGCATTGCAAACCTCTCGGAGAACAATTTCTTGGCACATGGAACGTCCAGGGTCTAGGGCAAGACCACAATAAATTGACTGAGATTCAAAACCACATGTAAGCAAAAGTATCGGTATAATGTGTATGCAAGAAACACACGTTGCAGATTCAAAGCATTTCTTACGAGATGGATATCTAATCATTTTGTCAGGCTCACTGGTGCCGCACGAAGGGTACCTTTATTCGGGCGTCGAATTCATGATAGCCCCAAGCGCGATAAGAACTATCATCATTTTCAAACTACTTGGAGACAGGCTCGCAACGCTGAAAGTAAAAGTCGAAGGCGGCATTCTGAACATCATGACCGTCTACGCTCCGCAATCTGGAAAGGAATACAAGTTGAGGAAAGATCTGTTCGACAGCGTTGGCAAAGCATGGACGCGGCATGGTAATTACAACTGCACTGTCGCACTTGGGGACTTCAATGCGCGATTGGGGGAAAGCTAGCTGGAGAAGGTGACGTAATGGGGGAGCACTTGATAAAGACGACGACCAACTCAAACAGGGAGCTCCTTATCGAGACGTGCAGGGAGTCAGAAGCCATCATCGCGAACACCTATTTCGAGCATCCACCAGAGCATCTCGTCACCTATTACGCGCCTGCCCCGGGAGTCGTCCCGGCCAGCGACATCACAGATAAAGACTTTGCGCGATTAGACTATTACTTGATCGACTCCAAGGCTCTCTCCATGATTGACGACATTTGGACGGACAGGACAGCGGCATTACCGACGCGGCACTTTCTGATGACAATTTCAATGCACATTCTATTTGGGAAGCAAACCAAGAAAAACACATCACAACGATGCTGTTTAACCACGTTGCGAAGTTCTCCTGGCATGGGCAGAGCTTATATTGATGCTTTTGAAGATGCTCTACCAATCAATGCGAAAGCCTTACCTCTCAATGACCACGCTGACGCAGTGGCAAACGCAATGACGACGGCAGCCGAGGTTGCTGTTGCCCCTCCCCGGAGGCCCCAACAAAAATGGATATTTTTGGGGACGCGCGATCTGTTTAGCCAAAGGGACAACATGCGGCAAAGCGGCGACATGTGCGGCGAGCGCCAGCTAAACAAAACCATCAAGAAAGCGATACGACAAGATAAACGGCGATGGTTGGACAATCAGCTTATGGGAGGGTCTTGGGCCGCAGTCAAAGCATCACGCAAAGCACCTGGGAAGACGCCGATTGTAATCAAGAACCAATTTGGGGAGCCCGTGGAAAGCGCTCAACGAGCAGACACGTTAGCGGATTATTTCGAGAACATACAATGAGAGGTCAAATATGCAGACGTACAGGCGGACGGCCTCCTCTAGGGAACCCTCTCCCGATAAATACAAACAGCTTTACGATGGACGAGTTGACGCAAGCATTGAAAAACTTAGCAATGGGGAAAGCTGCAGGACATGATGGGGTAGCGCCGGAATTCTGGAGACTGCTACGTATGTCGAGTACAGAATGTGCGAACCTCTTGGATTTATGTCAACGGTGTTGGGAAAACAAAGATATCCCAGATTCTTGGAGGATTGCCACAGTTGTCTTGCTATACAAAAAAAGGACGCGAGCCTCCCAGAGAATTACCGCCCGATTTCTCTGTTACCTGCGGGCTACAAGGTACTGGCGTGGATGATCCAAAAACGACTTCAACAAGGAGGAGCCGAAGACAGAATCTGGCCCACACAATTTGGATTCAGACCACGGCGGAGCACGATAGACGCAATTTCGATCGCGCGCCGCATGTTCGACGCAGCCCAGAGCGCCCCTGAGCATGGATTGATAGCTGTATTTTTGGATTGGGCTAAAGCGTTTGATGGAATCAAACATGACGTACTCCTACGAGCTTGGGGGAGGTTTGGGATACCAGAGCCAATGCTAGCAATAATAGTGGCTATCTATAGGACACGATCTTTCCTTCTGAAAGATCCGGCCGGGGATCCTAGCATCAGGCAACAGAGAGCAAGCATCGCTCAGGGGTGCCCGCTTTCTCCATACCTGTCCATTATCGTCCAAACCGTCATGTTCTTCGATATCGACCAGGCTTACAAGAACATTGAGACTGATTTTCGTGAGCCAGGATATGTTGTGTGCAACGACATCTTGTACGCTGACGACACCATGCTTGCGAGTGCGAGCCCGAACAAACTTCAAATGCTTTTGGATTTGACAACCGATGATGGAAAGCAATACGGGCTAGATTTGAATTGGGGAAAAACGGTTATGATGAGGATCAAGATAAAGAAGGAGTTGTGCACGACCGTTCCCTCCAACCTGTCAAACATGTTCAACAAGCTGTATATTTGGGAGGATTGCTACACAGCGGCTCTGCAAGCAAACCCGAAATTACGAGGCGTTTGGGGAAAGCCAAACAGACTTTCAAAGTACTGGCAAAATGGTGAAATCAAAAAAGCATCAGCAAATTCCGGAAGCTCCGCCTATTCGACGCCATCGTTGTCCCAAAGATTTTGTACACTTTGGAGTCTTCATGGTGTTATTGCAGGCAGACCGAACACGATTGGACAGCTTCCAAGCGACTTGTTTACGCAAGGTCCTGAAAATACGGCATGCATATGATTCCCGCGTGTCGAAAGCAACCGTATTGTCCTTAGCACGGGCAGCGCCTCTCAGCGAGACGTTGCACAAAAGACACATGCAGGCATATGTCAAAATATCCTAAATGCCAGCCGATAACTTTCTCAAGGATCTTGTTGGCGAGCCCGGTAGGGACATTCCCAGGAAGTGGCGCTCTGTCAGGAAGCGGGGACGTCCAAAATTGCAGTGGGCAAGTTGCGTATACAAACTACTACAACAAAGCACGGCGAGTTAGATACTTCATGCTTTGATGCATTCTGAGGCACATCATGACCATACCAAACCAAAGGATGTATGAATCGTTCATCGTCGCCCTGCTCCTCCTCCTCGTCCCCCTGCCCCGGTACGTGTCTGGCGTGAGTGTAAAATTTCATGACTTTGGTATGTTGTTGCTCCTCTTCTGCACGCGTTTGGCGTGTCCGCATCACTCTGCCAAGGCGCCGTGCCATAGGCTGGCGCATGGCTTCTGTCCGTCTGTCTATCCTACTTGGCCCCGGAGGCTCCTGAAGTGCTCGAGGGGAAGCGTGCCATCGAGGTCTCTGTACTACCAGAATGAGAATGTCCCCAAGCCCCTGTTTGAGGTTCAGGAGGAGGCTCCCCGCTACGAGGACCCCCTAGATGATGAGCACACGTTTGAAGCACTTGCTTATGATGGTAATGCTGCCAAGCGTTGCCCTCGGCCTCTTCGAGATGCTGCGCTGGCGTTTTTGCATCTGCATTCAGGAGCTAGGCGAGCGGGTGATGTCCAGGAAGAACTCGAGCGGGTGCTTGTGGCTTGCCCCGTGACCATCATTTTCAGATCTTGCGATGTGACTTGTGACCCTACGAACGCTAATGTGACTCGAGCTGCTATTGTGCAGAAGTGGGACTCGCTCCTGAGATCAGGTCGCGCTACTGGCCTCATAGGAGGCCCTCCGTGTGAGACGTGGTCTGCTGCGAGATAGCAGATACAACGAGTTGCCGATCGGGTTCGCCCTCCTGCCCCTCTTCACACTCTCAAGCATCGCTGGGGCCGCCCTGATGTCAGCAATCGACAGCACATGCAGCTACTCATTGGACAACAGGGCCCCATCAAATTACGCTTCTGTGAATTCGCTTGGGCTCTATCGTTGAGGAAATCCGGGGCCTGGGAAAAGGGCGTAGATGCGATCATCCCGAAAGTCCCAAGCGCAATAAAAAAACGCCCCACGCGTACTGCAGACTGCAGAAAGCCTCCCTGACTCCCTGCCTCCCTCCCCATACAAGGAGGCCGGCCACTGCGCATGCGCTTTCACCGACCCTGACAGGGCCCGTCCTGGGCCCAGGGGGGGTGCCATGCACACCGATCGTGGCCCAGCGGAGCGTCAGAAAACCCCCGCGGGCGCAAAACTGGTGCATGGGGGATGGCCCTGGGCTCCGAGACAAGCTCACGGCAAACCCTGAGATCCAAAGTTGCAGAAAAACATGCAACATCGCGAAAAATCATGACCAGAGCTCTAGACCTCATCTTTCTGCGGCACTTTACAAGCCAAGTCGATCTGTGGTGGCCCAGGGGCCCAAAACCAGGCGATGCATAACGCCTGCTGTGAAAAAATGCAACGCCCGAGTCTCAGGGAACCTCTGCGACGACGCCCTCCCGGCCGTGGAGCTCCTCTGCCCTGAGGCGATGCTGGACAAGGCGAGGCGTGCCACTGTGGGCCACGCCACCCACTCTTTTGACGAGCGGCTGCCGCCGAGCTCGTTTTCGCGCCCTACGCTGCCTGGCAACGCGCCGCGCCTTCTCGCTTCGCGCTGGCGCGCGAAGACCGTGGCTGCAGGGCCGGTGTCAATCTCATCAATCCGATTCGATATCGATTCTGATGTTCCTACGATACGATTTCGATCCCAGTCGATCCCATCGATGGATCCGACTAGATATCGACCCTGGCCAGCTCGACCCGAGTCGATTCCGACATTCCGACGATCTGGTTTCGTCGTCTGGCCGTGTGCCTCCTCGCCACCCGATCCCCTGGCGGGCCTCGCGCGCGAGGGCGGGGGCGCGCCGGCACGGTCGCCGCGCCGCGGCGGCCGCTACGCGGCCCCAAAGAGAGGGCGTCCAAAAACGGACCGCGGCCGGCGGGCTGCCCCAGAAGGGGGGCCTCCTCGAGCAGTGGGGCGAGAAGGAGCAGTGTAAAACCAAGAGTCATCAAGGATGTTGGAATAAACCCTCCCTCCAAGCTCCCTCGTCACAGGCCCCTACACCCGTTCATTTCCACTGAGCGGACTGCGTCGTTGAAAGACAACCGCTTCAAGACCTGGAAGCATACCAAAACATGATTCTCGGGCTTCGAACGCCACGGATCAACCAGACTGTTGCGTCTTGACAGTCCTGAATCTTGCCGGAACGCCTTTCCTGGGACTTCAACACCACGAACCAACGGAACTGTTGACCCTCAACATCCTGAATCCCTGAATCTTTCCAATTGAAAAAACCCGCCCTCAATCCGTGACAGCCCTGCAATTTCTTAGAACGAATGTGTGCGGCGCTACGGCGAGAGGCACATTGTGAAAACCGCCCGCACTCCATCAGTAAAACTGTTGCCAATGTTTAAGCTTCAGGGTGGTACATGGGGAGGAGGTCTCAAGCAAAAACTTGGCCCGCCCTGAAAACTGGCCTCGGCGTGCGACAGGGAGAATTCATGTATAAGAGAAGGGAATGAAAGAGGAGCTGGACGAGGAGGAGGAGGAAAACCACCGTAAACCCAAGAGTCTTCAACGATGCTGGGATAAACTCTCTTTGCAAACTCCCTCTTCATAGGCCCCTACACCTGTTCATTTCCACTGAGCGGACTGCGTCGTTGGAAAACAACCGTTTGAAGACCCTGAAACATGCCAGAACATTATTCTCGGGATTCCAATGCCACGGATCAACCTGACATTCCTGGGACTTCAACACCGCGAACCAACGTGGCTGTTGCACCCTCATAATCCTGAATCTTTCCAAAACACCATCTCTGGTACGCTGATCATGGGTATCCCTGAAACTCTTGCAAATGTTAAACACGAATGTGCGCGGCGCTGAAGCGAGAGCCACATTTTCAAAAGGAACCGCCCACAATCCGCGAAAGTCTTGCCCTTTTACGTAAAACGAATGCGTGCAACGTTAAGGCGAGAGCCACATTTTGAAAAAAAGGTCGCCCTCAATATGTGGAACTCTTGTCATTTCTTAGAACGAATGTGTGCGGCGCTAAGGCGAGAGCCACATTTTGAGAACGACCCGCCCTCCATCTGTAAAACTGTTGCCACTGTGTAGATTTCAGAATCGGAAATGGTGAGGAGATCTCAAGCAAAACACCCATCCCGTCCTAACAACTGGCCTCGGGGTTCGATAAGAAGAAAAGATGTATCGAGGAAGAAGAATCGAAGAGGAGGAGGAGGAACTGGACGAGGAAGATATGGAGAAGGACCAGTGCAAACCCAAGACTCATCAACGATGTTACAATAAACCCTCCCTCAGCGTTCCCTTTTCATACGCCCCAACAAACATTTGTTTTTACTGAATGGTGGGCCCAACTGGAAAGATAACCGTGGAAACCGTGGAGCTTCAACGCCGCTAATCACCGGACTGTTGCGTTTTGGCGATCCTGAACCGCGCAAAAACATCGTTTCTGGGACTTCAACACCACGAGTCATCGTAACCGCTGCGCCATGACAGTCGGACATAATTCAAAGACCCCCTTGAACCTGCTGTAAACTCTTGGCACCAATTGCGCGCGGCGCTATGGCGAGAGCCACATGTTTGTACTGTGTTTATTTCTGTGTATAAATACATACATACATACATGCATGCTTGCATACATACATAGATACATACTACATACGACATACATACATACATACATACATACATGCATGCATACATACATACGTACATACATACATATATGCATGCATACATACATACATACATACATACATACATACATACATACATACATACATACACGTATACATATATATAACACAAATCCGTGAAACTGCTGTTGCCAACTGTTCTGACGAAAGTGCGCGGCGCTAAGGCGAAAGCCACATTTTGAAAACGGCCCGACCTCCATACGCGATATTGCTGCATTTGTTTAAGGCGGATGTGCGCGGGGCTGGGAAAAGAGCCACATTTTGAACACGATCCGCCCTCCATCCGCAAATATATTCCAAAACGTTAAGATGCATGCGCGCGGAGCTAAAGCGAGAGTCACTTTTTAAAAGCGACCCGGCCTCCATCCGTGAAACTGCAACGAAGTCCAACTTAGCTTCAGGATCATAAACGGTGAAGAAGTCTCAACCAAAACGCCAGGTCCACCCTTGGCATCGGGCGCGATAGGGAAAAAGTACTCATAAGGAAAAATGGGGGAGGAGGAGGAGGAGGAGGAGGAAGCGGGAGGAGGAGGCGCAAGGGCCCAGGAGGGGAACGCGATAACAATGACGATGATGACGATGATGATGTTGCTGATGGTGACTATGATGGTAATGACGATGACGAGGCGGATAATGATAATGGCAATGATGATAATAGCAATGCGCATAATATGAATAAAATACTACTCCTAAAAAGAAAGATACTACAAAAAATAATAATAGTAGGACGGACTCTGAAAAGCACAACAGTGATGATGACGACGATGACAGCGATGATGATGGTGTTGATGATTACGTGAAAGGAAACTGAACAGCGGCGACCTGTCATCTACAAAGCTGAACGAGTTAGGATAATTGGAGCCTGTTGCAGCAATCGCGGCCTAAGATTGGCTCACGCGCGGAACGAAAAACCGAGGAGGTAAAAGACGACACCCCTCAGAAGCAGTTCTGTCTCAGGGACATGAAGTACAACAGTGCAGAACTGCTCGCAGTATGCAGCCGCCCAACTGAAATACTGGAGCACATGTGAAAGCGGCAGGATTTGACCAACGGGCAAACACAGGAAGAAGCAGACAATTCCTTCTCTGTCCCGTGTAAGGCTGAATCTGGTTGGCTTTTGACCCGCCGGCATCTTCACCACGGCCAAAGGACGGCTTCCCTGCTGAAGCGCCCTTCGGATCCGCCCGAAATGCTGAAGTATCTGAGGCTGGCACAGATGACGCTGCAAGAGATCTCCCCAAAGTGCGAGTACTCGCGTTATCTGCTGAATCAACTCGCGGCATGGTGCCCGACATTAAAAACGGAACTGTCCCTGCGGCGCGCTGATCAGACATTGTACGTCCAGACGGCGAAGACGACGCATCATCTGGACGTAAAGCAGATACCAGAGCGAGCTTTGCAGCAGGACATCCCCCGACGTCTGCGCGTAGGCCGGCTGCAACTGCTGGATGTTGTATGGCGTCATCGCGAGGCTGACGGCCATCAGGAAGATGAGGAGGAACCGAACCATCATGTGCCGCCTGCATGGCAGCCCTGCGTTTCCCCTTCTTACGTAAACGTTGGGCCCGGCGCACAGCTCGAACTTTGAAGTTTCCCCAACAATTTAACAGGATCATCGGAGGTTTCAGCGTTGCCCTGTGCATCCTGAGCACGCTCTTTGCGAAGAGTCGCTGGCGCGGAAGGCCGCGCAGCCGCAGACATCACAATGCCCGCAACCGCAGCAGCCACAGCAGCAACAGTGCGCCTCGGCGCGTGCTCCCGGATCGCCGCCTGCACTGCCGCCGCCAAAAGGGAGGGGGCATCAGCAGCTATGGCGCTCATCTATGTCTAGCGAGGGGAGGCCTGGGAGGCAGCTAAACAAATGCAATTGCTTGAGCCAATATGTGTTGCTGATAACGTAGCCAAAGATGAAGATGATCACGATAATGACGGCACGGCAATGACGATGTCCAGGATGTTTATCCAAATATGAAGGTGGTGACCATGATCATGATAATGACGAAGATGATGATGGTGATGGTGATGATTGTGATGATGATTAGTGTAATGGTGATGAGAATGGTGACGCTGATGATGGTGATGGCGGCGGTGATGGTGAAAATGATGATGATGGTGGTGGTAACGGTGTGATGGTGATGATAGTGATGATGGTGATACTGAGAATGATGGAGAAAGCGGTTTCAGAATCAGGCGGAATGGAGTATAGCGTATGGCAGCCCGTCGCAGGATCGGTGACATCACACGTCCAGTGCTCATGTGGTGGGGCGACGCTGGCACGGGCGCGAACGCTGTGATGACAATGATGGCGATGGTGATGATGATGGTCATGGTGGTGGTGACGGTGATGGCGATGGCGATGGCGATGGTGATAAAGCGGTGGAGGTGAAAATAATGATCATGATGATAATGAAGCCGGTGGTAGTGACGATAATGATGGTAGTGGTGGGGATGATGGTTATGGTACTGGTCATGGTGACGGTGGTGATGATGATAATGTAGATGATTGTGATAATGATGGTGGTGGCGAAAATAATGCTGATGTGATGGTGCAGAAAACTGAAGATGGTGAAATGATGATGGTGGTGTTAGTGATGATGAAAGGCATGATGGTGATGATGATGATGGTAGTGACGATAAGGGTAATGCTGATGACGGTGATAATGAGTATGATATTGATGATGCTGGTGAAGATGGCACTGGCGTTGGTGATTATGGCGATGGTGATGATGATGACGATGGTGATGATGTTGATGTTGGTGATGGAACTGATGATGGTAATGGTGCTGAAGATGATCATGTATAACGGCGATGATGGTGATAATGGTTGTGATGGTGATGATGATACGGATGATGAGAATGAAGATGATGGTGGTGGTGGTCATGATGGTGATGAGGATGACGATGATGATGACAGTGACGATGCTGATGATGATGGAAATGACGATTGTGATAATAATGGTGACGGTGAAGGTGATGGTGATGATGACGGATGGTGATGGATGACGATGATGATGATGGTGATGATGATGACGATGGTGATGAGCATAACGATGATGATGAGTGGCGAGGGTGGCGGTGACGGCGGTGGCAGTGATGGCGATGGTGATGATGATGATGATGGCGGTGATGAAAACAGCGATAGCGAGGCTGATGCTGGTGGTGATTGCGTTGCCTAGCGTTGCTTAGGCGCCCTGCAATAGTGCCACCTGGGCCCGACGCCGCATACAGACAATTAAGTTACAGCGGCGCCGAGAAACAACTTACAAGATTTCCACCACTCAAGACATGCCCTCTGCCCATCTCTCCAAAAGAGCCTGCGGAAGGGTTGAAAGGGCCAATCTTCCCCCTGGAACTTGTCGAAATCGCGCCACCAACGCCAGATCCCGACTGGGCGGCGGTGGACTTGGGAGCCCTGCCATCTGGTCACGGCCGCAATCCACGCTCCATCATGAAATCGCAACACGCGATACGCGACTCGCTCCGTGGAAGACCACACGAGGGCCTGCAGATGCCCCCCCCGCCCCCCAGTTCCGAGGGAGGCGTCTACACGTCTGTGGCCAAGGCCCGATGATATATCGCGCGCGAACGTCTGCGACGGCTCACATTGCCGCCCTCGCGTATTCGGCGGCGGTCTCGCCGCGAGGAGGGCAGATCACGCGTCTAAGCATGGCGCTGTGACACTTGGAGATCCCATGCAGCGCCGATGCTGCGAGGCGAAAGCTGCCTATACAATACGCGAGGGCGGGCCGTGCACGTCTGTCCAGGGCCCCCCAACACTTCTGGTGCATAACTTTGCGATTGGTCAACAGCGCGCAGTGGACAGCAAACGCGCGCCACGAACGCTAAATTACGTTACAAACCTCGCGCATGCAACTACGATCGAAAGCAACTCAAGTCCCCGAGACCCATTAACCCTCGGCCCTCGCTCTACACGGGACGATGGTGCCACGGACGCGAAGCGCGTTGAGGTTGGAAGAATAAACACGGCACCACTCCATGTAATTTACGGAGACTTTTAGACCACTGCCGCTTCAAATCCTAAGCCAGGCCTCAATCATTTCTGTGGTCATCGAGACCGAACGGGCCAGGATCCGACGTGGCCATCCTCCTCGCCTGGGGCAGTCAGGCACACGCCCCACCCGTTCTGGCGACAGAGATCCTGAAACTCGAACATGCACTGATCAAGGAAAATGTTGTCAAGCTCAGGCGCCGCGGGACCCCCTTGGATCAGCAAGTTCTCTCGCCGAATCGGATCCGGGAGGTCGTTCCCAGTCAGACGAACGCGAGCCCGGGATCCGCGGGTCTCCCTAATCCAAAAGCCCCTTGCTACACGGGAAACGCCATGGACATCTAGGCGGCGAGCTAGGGCAGCACGATTGACATCATCCTAAAACTTGCGAGTGCCCCCTCTGACGACAACGAGGGGAGGGCCCCGAGACACCTACGAAACGCCAACTGGTTCTCACTTCGGCAGCTGCTCATGGAGCCTCCCTGGGTCTCCAACGTCATCATGCTTAAGGTTTTCTGCGACACTGAGACCGGGGCAATCGGTCGAAACTGACTTCCGAATCAACTGAACCACGCGCCCCCCCCCCCCAGGCCGCGTCGAAGAGAAGTGGTTTCGCACCCGCGACCGAAGCGCCCCAAATATCTCTTCTAGAATGCCATCATCGAGCCCCTGAAGCATCTCCCCCACAATCACGTCGTTCTCATCGCACGACTTACGGTTTGTTGTACGCGTTTAATCGTTCGATGCACATTCTGGACATCGGCAGGCTGAGCGGCACCTCCTGCTGCTGCCCCCCCGCCGACCACTGGTGGTAAATCCCACCAGCCCTTTGGGCGTGAGTGGTTTAGCGAGCTCTCTCTGTTCTCAACCCCCCTTCTTCCCCTTCGGGGAGGGGTGCACCCCTCCCCCTACCCCCTCCCCCTGGGCCTGGAGAGGGCGCCTCGCGGGTCGTCAGGGGAGTCATTTGCGACTCCTGGGAGGGCTAAAAAAAACACCCCTCACGAGGATTCTGGCCCCGACGGGGGGAGGCAGAAAAAAAAAAAACCTCTTCTTTGAAGCCAAAATCATTGATTTTACTACGGTTTTGGCCCCATTTTGGCCTTCTGAGGGGGCAGCGCTAATTAAAGATCCCCTCTTCTTTCAAGCCAAAATCATTGATTGTACGAAGGTTGTGGCCCCATTTTGGCCTTCTGAGGGGACAGCGCCCATTAAAGCTCCCCTCTTCTTTGATCGATCTCCTCCAAGATGGCCCCAAGAAGCGCCCGGGAGGCACCAAGAGGCCCCAAGATGGCCCCAAGAAGCCCCCAGGAGGCCCCCAAGAGGCCTCCAAGAGGCCCCCAAGATGCCCCCAAGAGGCCCCCAAGAGGCCCCAAGAGGCTCCCCCGAGGCACCCAAGACGCTCCTGGAAGCCCCCGGGGCCGCCAAGAGGCCCCCACGACGCCCCAAACGGCCTCCAAGAGGCTCCCAAGAGGGCCGAAGAGGCTCCCCCAAGGCACCGAAGACGCTCCTAAAAGCCCCTGGGGCCGCCAAGAGGCCCCCAAGACGGGACGAGGTGCCCGAACGCCTCACGCCACGAGGAGCCCGAACGACTCACGCCAGGACGAGGGGCCCGAACGACTCACACCACGAAGAGCCCGAACGACTCACACCAGAAGGAGGGGCCCGAACGACTCACACCAGGACGAGGCGCCCGAACGACTCACACCACGAGGAGCCCGAACGACTCACACCACGACGAGGGCCCCGAACGACTCACACCACGAGGAGCCCGAACGAGTCACACCAGGAGGAGGGGCCCGAACGACTCACACCAGGACGAGGGGCCCGAACAACTCACACCACGAGAAGCCCGAACGACTCACACCAGGACGAAGAGCCCGAACGACTCACACCACGAAGAGCCCGAACGACTCACACCAGGAAGAAGGGCCCGAACGACTCACACCAGGACGAGAAACCCCAAACGACTCAAACCACGAGGAGCGTTTTCTCTCCCTCCTCCTCCGCCTCGTCCTTCTCCCGCTCCCCCCACAAGGAGGATGTACAAGGAGGCGGGAGGAAGGAGTAACAGGGGAGATATGCGGGGCCAAGCGGACACACGCCTGAAAAACACGACTGTCGGCATGCTTCGCAAGAGTTGCTGTTGCGAGATGGGCTGGTGGGGATACGCGAAGCGTAAAGAATTCAATCTGGCAGCTGCCCGTCGCTTTGCGGGTCTCGAAACAGGTGCGAGTAGAACTTGAAGGCTTCTCCCCTGCGGCTCGCACTGGTCGTAGCCTTCTCTCCGCTCTCGGTGTCTAAAAAATGCACTGGCTGCCCTGACTCGCACTGATTGACCGCCTCGACCCCCGTCGCATAATATGGTCAGATGTTCGGCCGCACATCTCTCACGCATGGCTCTCTTCATCTTGCGCACCGCAGGCCCAATCAGATGTCGGATTCTCGGGTCGCCCCGTCGGGCTCTCTGGCGTTCTAACGCCTGAGGCTGCAGCAGCTCATCGTCGCCCGCTGGAGGCCCCCACCGGCCTCGGCGCGGAACGTGGCCGGCGGCCGCGGCGGCGCTGCAGATCGCGGACGCCAGAGCGCTCAGCGAGGAAACTCCCTCTCGCGAGCAGCTGGCGGTGGCCCTCGGCGGCGCCAGGTGCGCCCCCAGCGCCGCGCTCGCATCCCCCTGCGGGATGGTGGCCCGCCCGCGTGTCCTGGCAGCGCGGCAGGCGGCGCAGCGCAGCTCGCAGGTGTCACGGAAATCGGCCTCGCCCCACTCGGCCGCGGAATGGGTCGCCTCCAATGGCGAGCAGCGGAGAGAGCGTCGCTCCCCGCCCTGGCCAGCGCGTCGGCCCGCTCGTTCCCGATGCCCCCGCTGTGGCCCTTGACCCAGCGGA